TGGGGGAGAAGGTCTGGAAGAAGTCAACTCCCTGTCGCTAACTGAAGCCACGTGCAACGTAACGCGCCTTGAAGACAGGCAGAGAACCCAGCGGCCGCTTCACCCTGAAAATCCACATGCCACTGACAATGTTCGCCCCAGGTGGGGGAACCTCGTCAACGAAAGTGCCTGTGGACTTCCAGGAACCTCACCAATAAGCACTGTCGCCGCAATTGCGGCTCGTTTCTTTAAACCATGCTAATTTGCTAAATCATGTAGAAACCATCAGTCCGTGCTCCATTTCCTTTATCTCACCACTCACCCTCTGCCTGCCCCCTCCCCCGCCTCATCCGCTTCCCCTCCCCCTCCCCCTGCCCCTTGCTTTCCGTGTCCTCTCCTTCCCACTCCCCCTTTCTTAGTGAGACAAAGCAGTAGAAGGATGTAAGCTATTGAGGCAAGCCAGTGGAGGGACGTGTGGGGATCAGCCTTTTGTTGAGCTGAGAATTATCGTTACCTCTCTTACTGCTTCTGGCACAAGTGCTATCCTGTTGGTATCAAATGCTGGTTTGCAAGCAGGTGAGCTCGACTCAGAAGTCACTTTGCGATCAGGTGAGCCATATGGTTACTTCTGACACGAGTTTGACACTTGGGAACAGCGGGAGAGGATGGGTGCGTTTTGAGCTTGGTCTGATTCTTGTGACCATTCGTGATTTCCCACGCCTGTTTTGAACCAGGTTCCGCAAGCATGTTTGGAGGTGTTCAGGTCAGTATTTTGGTCACAATCCGGGTCAGTATTCGGGTGAGTATTTGGGTCAGTATTCGGGTCAGTCAGTATTCTTCTATTCAATGGCAACTGCTGCTGGGAGGATGTCCCATCACAACAGTCACACGGCGCACAGCAGATGGTGTTTCTGCATCAGACACGTTTTCAACTGGAGCCATTTGATGTTTCGGTTGACGCCTCAAAAAACTTTCAAACTCATGTTTGGCTTTGGCATGAGCCTCCTATGATGATGACTATCTGCAGTTGCTGTTGATAATTGTCTCCCTTTCATGTGCAAGGTTACAGCCTTGTTGACACATTGCCTGGCATTGTTGTGGAGTGGATAGTGAGATTGCTGTTGATTTGACACATAGCTCCATTGAATGTTTGGGATGTATCTTTGTGAACTTCCACGTCTGAGGCTTGGACTAGCTCAGGAGATGCTGGTTGCACCATACCATGAACACATGACAAATGCGCATTGGGTACATGCTAAGTACGGTATCAAAGCTTAGGTGCCAACAACCATAGCCACAGACAGCCACAGAAGCAACCACACCTGCAGACACAGTTGCAGTCACATCACAGCAGCAGTCACAGCAGCAGTCACAGCAACAGTCACAGCAGCAGTCACAGCAGCAGTCACAGCAGCAGTCACAGCAGCAGTCACAGCAGAAGTCACAGCAGCAGTCACAGCAGCAGTCACAGCAGCAGTCACAGCAGCAGTCACAGCAGCAGTCACAGCAGCAGTCACAGCAGCAGTCACAGCAGCAGTCACAGCAGCAGTCACAGCAGCAGTCACAGCAACAGTCACAGCAGCAGTCACAGCAGCAGTCACAGCAGCAGTCACAGCAGCAGTCACAGCAGCAGTCACAGCAGCAGTCACAGCAGCAGTCACAGCAGCAGTCACAGCAGCAGTCACAGCAGCAGTCACAGCAGCAGTCACAGCAGCAGTCACAGCAGCAGTCACAGCAGCAGTCACATCAGCAGTCACAGCAGCAGTCACAGCAGCAGTCACAGCAGCAGTCACAGCAGCAGTCACAGCAGCAGTCACAGCAGCAGTCACAGCAGCAGTCACAGCAGCAGTCACAGCAGTAGTCACAGCAGCAGTCACAGCAAGTCACAGCAGCAGTCACCGCAGCAGTCACAGCAGCAGTCACAGCAGCAGTCACAGCAACAGTCACAGCAGCAGTCACAGCAGCAGTCACAGCAACAGTCACAGCAGCAGTCACAGCAGCAGTCACAGCAGCAGTCACAGCAGCAGTCACAGCAGCAGTCACAGCAGCAGTCACAGCAGCAGTCACAGCAGCAGTCACAGCAGCAGTCACAGCAGCAGTCACAGCAGCAGTCACAGCAGCAGTCACAGCAGCAGTCACAGCAGCAGTCACAGCAGCAGTCACAGCAGCAGTCACAGCAGCAGTCACAGCAGCAGTCACAGCAGCAGTCACAGCAGCAGTCACAGCAACAGTCACAGCAGCAGTCACAGCAGCAGTCACAGCAACAGTCACAGCAGCAGTCACAGCAGCAGTCACAGCAGCAGTCACAGCAACAGTCACAGCAGCAGTCACAGCAGCAGTCACAGCAGCAGTCACAGCAGCAGTCACAGCAGCAGTCACAGCAGCAGTCACAGCAGCAGTCACAGCAGCAGTCACAGCAGCAGTCACAGCAGCAGTCACAGCAGCAGTCACAGCAGCAGTCACAGCAGCAGTCACAGCAACAGTCACAGCAGCAGTCACAGCTGCAGTCACAGCAACAGTCACAGCAAAATTCACAGCAGCAATCACAGCAACAGTCACAGCAGCAGTCACAGCAGCAGTCACAGCAGCAGTCACAGCAGCAGTCACAGCAACAGTCACAGCAACAGTCATAGCAACAGTCATAGCAGCAGTGACAGCAACAGTCACAGCAGCAGTCATAGCAGCAGTCACAGCAGCAGTCACAGCAACAGTCACAGCAGTAGTCACAGCAGCAGTCACAGCAGCAGTCACAGCAGCAGTCACAGCAGAGTCACAGCAGCAGTCACAGCAGCAGTCACAGCAGCAGTCACAGCAGCAGTCACAGCAGCAGTCACAGCAACAGTCACAGCAACAGTCATAGCAACAGTCATAGCAGCAGTCACAGCAACAGTCACAGCAGCAGTCACAGCAGCAGTCACAGCAGCAGTCACAGCAACAGTCACAGCAGCAGTCACAGCAGCAGTCACAGCAGCAGTCACAGCAGCAGTCACAGCAGAGTCACAGCAGCAGTCACAGCAGCAGTCACAGCAGCAGTCACAGCAGCAGTCACAGCAGCAGTCACAGCAACAGTCACAGCAGCAGTCACACCAACAGTCACAGCAGCAGTCACAGCAGCAGTCACAGCAGCAGTCACAGCAGCAGTCACAGCAGCAGTCACAGCAGCAGTCACAGCAACAGTCACAGCAGCAGTCACAGCTGCAATCACAGAAACAGTCACAGCAAAAGTCACAGCAGCAATCACAGCAGCAGTCACAGCAACAGTCACAGCAGCAGTCACAGCAGCAGTCACAGCAGCAGTCACAGCAACAGTCACAGCAGCAGTCACAGCAACAGTCATAGCAGCAGTCACAGCAACAGTCACAGCAGCAGTCACAACAGCAGTCACAGCAGCTGTCACAGCAACAGTCACAGCAGCAGTCACAGCAGCAGTCACAGCAGCAGTCACAGCAGCAGTCACAGCAGCAGTCACAGCAGCAGTCACAGCAGCAGTCACAGCAGCAGTCACAGCAACAGTCACAGCAACAGTCATAGCAACAGTCATAGCAGCAGTCACAGCAACAGTCACAGCAGCAGTCACAGCAGCAGTCACAGCAGCAGTCACAGCAACAGTCACAGCAGCAGTCACAGCAGCAGTCACAGCAGCAGTCACAGCAGCAGTCACAGCAGAGTCACAGCAGCAGTCACAGCAGCAGTCACAGCAGCAGTCACAGCAGCAGTCACAGCAGCAGTCACAGCAACAGTCACAGCAGCAGTCACACCAACAGTCACAGCAGCAGTCACAGCAGCAGTCACAGCAGCAGTCACAGCAGCAGTCACAGCAGCAGTCACAGCAGCAGTCACAGCAACAGTCACAGCAGCAGTCACAGCTGCAGTCACAGAAACAGTCACAGCAAAAGTCACAGCAGCAATCACAGCAGCAGTCACAGCAACAGTCACAGCAGCAGTCACAGCAGCAGTCACAGCAGCAGTCACAGCAACAGTCACAGCAGCAGTCACAGCAACAGTCATAGCAGCAGTCACAGCAACAGTCACAGCAGCAGTCACAACAGCAGTCACAGCAGCTGTCACAGCAACAGTCACAGCAGCAGTCACAGCAGCAGTCACAGCAGCAGTCACAGCAGCAGTCACAGCAGCAGTCACAGCAGCAGTCACAGCAGCAGTCACAGCAGCAGTCACAGCAGCAGTCACAGCAGAGTCACAGCAGCAGTCACAGCAGCAGTCTCAGCAGCAGTCACAGCAGCAGTCACAGCAGCAGTCACAGCAGCAGTCACAGCAACAGTCACAGCAGCAGTCACACCAACAGTCACAGCAGCAGTCATAGCAGCAGTCACAGCAGCAGTCACAGCAACAGTCACAGCAGTAGTCACAGCTGCAGTCACAGCAGCAGTCACAGCAGCAGTCACAGCAGCAGTCACAGCAGCAGTCACAGCAACAGTCACAGCAGCAGTCACAGCAGCAGTCACAGCAGCAGTCACAGCAGCAGTCACAGCAGCAGTCACAGCAGCAGTCACAGCAGCAGTCACAGCAGCGGTCACAGCAACAGTCACAGCAGCAGTCACAGCAACATTCACAGCAACAGTCACAGCAGCAGTCACAGCAGCAGTCACAGCAACAGTCACAGCAGCAGTCACAGCAGCAGTCACAGCAGCAGTCACAGCAGCAGTCACAGCAGCAGTCACAGCAGCAGTCACAGCAGCAGTCACAGCAGCAGTCACAGCAGCAGTCACAGCAGCAGTCACAGCAGCAGTCATGGCTGCAGCTGCATGCTTCAATGAAGTAGCCGAGGCAAGGGAGGTGCCCTGATGGAGAACCGACAATTCCAGTGTATGGCCTGTTCTGAGAAGAGAGGCCTGATCCCAGTGGCTGATGCTCCTGTGGCAAGATTCTAAGTGGACCCGAAAGTGGGCTGCTGCTCCTGTAGAATTTGTACAAATTCCCGCATGCGCCTCATGCCCTATGCGATGTTGCTGTCGCTTCCCATTGCCTACATGAGCCCAAACCTCCTGCATTGCTGATGGCCGTCAGTAACAGAGATGAGGAGGAACATGGGACATGGTGGGATGGGATGAGGAGCAGAGATGGTGGGATGGGATGAGGAGCAGAGATGGTGGGATGGGATGAGGAGCAGAGATGGTGGGATGAGATGAGGAGCAGAGATGGTGGGATGGGATGAGGAGCAGAGATGGTGGGATGGGATGAGGAGCAGAGATGGTGGGATGGGATGAGGAGCAGAGATGGTGGGATGGGATGAGGAGCAGAGATGGTGGGATGGGATGAGGAGCAGAGACGGTGGGATGGGATGAGGAGCAGAGATGGTGGGATGGGATGAGGATCAGAGATGGTGGGATAGGATGATGAGCAGAGATGGTGGGATGGGATGATGAAAAGAGATGGTGGGATGCGATGAGGAGCAGAGATGGTGGGATGGGATGATGAGAAGAGATGGTGGGATGGGATGAGGAGCAGAGATGGTGGGATGGGATGATGAGAAGAGATGGTGGGATGCGATGAGGAGCAGAGATGGTGGGATGGGATGATGAGAACAGATGGTGGGATGGGATGATGAGAAGAGATGGTGGGATGCGATGAGGAGCAGAGATGGTGGGATGGGATGATGAGAAGAGATGGTGGGATGGGATGAGGAGCAGAGATGGTAGGATGGGATGAGGAGCAGAGATGGTGGGACGGGATGAGGAGCAGAGATGGTGGGATGGGATGATGAGCAGAGATGGTGGGATGGGATGAGGAGCAGAGATGGTGGGATGGGATGAGGAGCAGAGATGGTGGGATGGGATGAGGAGCAGAGATGGTGGGATGGGATGAGGAGCAGAGATGGTGGGATAGGATGATGAGCATGTTGAGAAAAGCCCTGGAGGTGCATGGGCGGGAGCAGGGGCTTCCGTAGAAGCTGGACCAAGGAGTCCGCATGAGGTGAAGAAGTGCCCGTGCACAGGATGTACCGAGGTACCTGTGCACGAGGTACTGTGGGGTCCGCAGGTGCAGCAGCAATATCTCGTGCACATGCGCAGAGGGCGCAGCTGGTGCAGGAGTTCGCGGAAGTTCATCTCCGCAGGGTCGCGTCTGACCCTGCGCACCCTCGCGTATGCACATTCGAATTTCGGAGAGAAATTCGATGTGCGCGAAATTCGACCAATGGCAGCGCAGGGAATTTCGACCAGTCAGATTCAGACGGAAATTGTACCCGTCAGGGGAAATTGAACCAGTAACGAAAATGAACCTGCTACACGTTTTTGTAACAGCAAAAACGTGCACACCTATGGATGGTGTACAACCTGGGCAACTACCTAGTTAGGTGGAAATACATGGGCTTGTTTTTCCCACCTGCTGTTGCTGAGTTGGCATGGCACATGCTTGGTAGTTAGCTAAACGTTCCCTCTTGGAACGTTTCTGCAGGGTTCCTTGTTCTAGTATATTGGTTCAATTCTTGTTGTACTATACTTGTTCTTTCTTGTTCAATCCTTGCCTTAGTGAAACCTATGCTTGGATTCTACTAAGTCAACAACTCTGTCAAGAGTACTAGCAAGCAGAATTCTACCCACGCAGCCCTTAGCGTACCTACGTTCCCCATAGTCTAGAATTCTCCGCATGGTGCGGTGAGCGTGGACGAGCACACGCGATACCTTCAGATAGACGCGTAGGCGATCACGAAGTTGTCTAGCTAGAGCAAGCAGCCACGAAAGGCTCCGTATGTCTGACGACGGCGTCGCTTCGGAAGCCATGGATACCCTGGAGGCCCAGGAGGCTGCCATGCGGGAGGGATTCAGCGATACTGGAATCAGCGCGGAGGACTTGGAGCTCCTGGTTCTTGGACTCCATAAACGCTGGGCGCGTGAACATCCACCTCCTCGTGCTGAAGCGGACAATGGGTCTGCCGCTCCTCGTGCTGAAGACTACGACGTGAATCTTGGCAATGGAGGCGCACGGGCTGCACATGGTGTGATACGAGGCCCCGTCAGTAGGAACGTCACAAGTGTCGGTGGGACGCAAGCGCAAGTCCTGCGGTCTGCTGCTGCAGCAAGTGCGCGTGGTGACGCTGACGGACGTCGAAGCTCTGCACGAGGAAGCGATGGTGGACCTGCATGGACAGGCAACGCTTCAACTGTCAGAGATGGTGGCATCGCCCCCGAGTACGGGTACTTCAAGTTTTCGCCCGACAAAATTGCTGTGCCGAAGTTGCTTGAGGGCCGTCACGATCTGACTACCTGGGTGGAGTCGATTGAGCAGCAGTTGGAGATTGCTCAATTGAAGAAGTTCGTCGACGGCACGGTGGACATGCCGCCTGAGGATGATGTTGCGCGCCGCTCTCAATTTCATTCCGCGCAGCTTCTAACATTCATGGTCATCTCCAGATGTTGCTCGCCGGTTGTCCAGGTTGCGCTGAAGCCTTGTCGTCTGCGTGAAGATGCAGGCTTCCAAGCTTGGCAGTTCATCATGAAGACTTACAAGGCAACTGATGATCTCTACATCGGCCAGCTAAAGCAACACCTGACGAACCTGGTGATGGGGGAGCACGAGAGTGCAACAGCATATTGCAATCGTGCTCAGCAGATACTTGTGGACCTGCGCATGGCGGGCGTCGACTACGCAATGTCTTCATATGTCACGCACGTCATCAAGGGTCTTCCCACGTGCTACAATCTCCTGCGACGCATGGTGAAGCTTCCGGGTGTGCGAGAGGAGCTAGACGAGGATACGCTGTCAAGCTACATCATCGAGGAGGAGTTCACGCTTGAGTCGGAGCAGCGCAAGGAGCAGCTTCTTCCCCAAGCCAACAACGTCGCGCCGTCCAAGCCAGGGCGCCAGCAACAGCAGGGACATCTGCAAGGGAAGCAGTGGAAGCCTGCAAAGGATGATAACAGTGCAAAGTCTGCCAAGGATGGCAAGGGTAAAAACACCTCTCGACAGTACTGCTTCGTCTACGGAGATCCTGCGCACCTTTCATATCAGTGTCCCGAACGTGTCAGCAAGGAGTCTGATGATGATCACGAAGCTCCGCGCGGGCGTCAACTGTTGGTGCAACCCTACGGTTTGCACTCAGCTTGTTGTCCGTGTACGTGCATGCGTGCGTGCATGGAATGGTATGAGGGCATGAGATAATAGATATTTCATGCTTATAATAGTGTGTGTATGATGGGTCATGATGTCGAGTGTGTGTGTGTCGAGACAATAGCGAGTTATTGCTAGTCGCGTGTTACGCGGTCATTTTGTGTCCCGCGCGGTTTCTATTTTGTCGCTTGTGTGTCTCGCGCGGTTTCTATTTTGTCCTGTATCGAACGTTCGGCGTGTCGCATGTGTGTGCAGCAGACCCATCAAGAACTCAAGGATGAGTTTGTGATGAAGAACCCGAGCCCTGGTGTCAAGCCTCAAGTGATTTCGAAGCTCGCCAAAATGGTACACTTCAAGATGTTGAAGATAGTTACATTACAATGTGTAGTGTAACATTTCTGTTGGTGTAGACCCTTGTGAAGGGTAGTTTCGAGACCCTTGTTGGTTGAGGACAGTGTGGCACTGTTCCACATCACTGTACCTCGGCTCTTGGGGTTTGTAGGAGCTGGGAGTCATTCCCAACTCGTAACTCTTCCTATCTTGTGTTCTAAGACTATAGTGGCTGCCATAGTGCCGTTCGTTCAAACCGACGCTGTGTCGTCAATACTTGGTCAAATCGTGCGATCTAAAATGCCTATTGTAGGCGACATTAAGACGCTCGAGATCCAATTTGAATCAGGTCATTTGAAGCTGTGACCAGAACGCTATGAACGTTTAAAGCCGCTGTGCAGAAATCCGACTGTGCACTCTATCTTTCGTTTTAGGCACATTGGAGCCTATTGTGAATATAACAAGTGGTATCAGAGCCCCTTGGAGCAGTTTCGACAATGGCTGGACCTGAGGAAAGGGGTGGCAGAGGTGCTGGTGGCAGTGGAGAAGCCCAAGCTCAAGGCCAACCCCGTGACTCAGCCATGGCGCCCGTGCAACCAAGTGTTGGCCCATCTAGGGATGAGCCTAGAGTGTTTGGCCTTGACAAGTTCAACGGTGACAACTTTGCTGAGTGGTACTTCAGAATGGAGAACGTATTTGACCACTATGACCTGCTGGAGGTGATGGAAGGAACGGAGAAGCGTCCCGAGAACGACCCGGAGAAGAGCCCGTGGGTGCGGAAGAGCGCACAAGGCTACCTCCTACTTGGGCAAGCGTTGGGGAGCAGCCAGATCCGTCACATCAAGCCATTCCAGCATGAACCAGAGAAGGGACCAAAGGCATGGGCTGCTCTCAAGGGTGTACACACTCCTGCAACAGCGGCGGTAGCGGTGGTGTTGGAACGGCAAATGGCGACACTACGAATTGACGAGGATGAAGCGGTTGAAGAAGGGGTGCAGAAATTCTTCGACTTGTTGACGCGGCTTGAAGGAGCTGATTTGAACTACAGTGAGCTCCAAAAGAAGACCAAGTTGCTGGCCCTACTCCTGGAATCGTGGTCCTCGCTCATCATCAACTTGAACCGTGATCTGCCCCGTCTCTCGCTTGAAGACGTGAAGCGCGCGATCCTTCAAGAGGACTTCCGCCGCCGTGAGTTGGCGAGTGCGGATGGCGCTGGGGCAGCAAGCGTCGGCCGTGGATATGGCCGAGGAAGAGGCAGAGGATGAGGGGGAGGAAGGTTTGGTGGCAGCAACTTCAGTGGAGGTCGCGGAAATGGCGGATACGGCAGTGACGACAAGAGCTACGGACGCGGTCGCGGCCGATTCGACGGCGAGTGTCACTATTGCCACAAGAGCGGACATATGTGGCGCGATTGCTACAAACTCCCTGATGGTTGGACCCCTGCTCAAGGCCAAGAGGGTAGAGGAGCAGGAGGAGGGAGAGGAAGAGGCCGTGGAGGCCGTGGCGGTCGCGGAGGCGGTGCTGCAAACATGCAGAGCGAAGATAACGACAAGGACCCGAGTGGCAATCGGTACCCGGGTCAGTTCTACTTTGTGTCAACACAAGCACCGGCTGCACCAGAGAAGGATGAAGGCTTTGAGGAGCCAGCAGCTGTGGGAAAGGTCACCCTACACCCCCTGGACTATTGGGTGATCGATAGCGGCGCTACCTATACCATGACACCTCGCGCGGACTTGCTCACCGAACTTGAACCGTCACCGGTGAAGCATGTCACATCGGCTTTGGGGCAGCGAGCAGAGGTGAAAGGCATGGGCAAGGCCATGTTCAAGGGTGCTGATGGGAAGATGGTGGGCCTCAAGAACGTGCTTTGGGTGCCCAGCCTTGCTGCGAACCTGATTTCCGTGCGGCGGTTGGCAAAGGCCGGCATGGACACGAACTCGAAGGGAGCCAAGACCTACACCGCAAGGCTTGGCGAGCGGATCCTTTGGGACCTTCACGAGGATAGGGACGTCTACAACGAGATGTGGCAGATCCCTGTGGTCCCCATGCCTAAGGAGAGGCAAGTGGCAGCAAGCGTCAGCACCAAGGGTGAAGCGGTCGGTAGCGGCGATGGCGCGAACGGTCGCGTTAAGGAGTATGAGTCCAACAAGTGGAATCTTGGAGGGACCAGCAAGCAGTGTGAACCTAAGGAGAGTGGTGCAACAGCCAAGGAGAAGAAAAAGGGTGAGGAGAACCCCGAGGCAGCAGCGGAGGAGGAGTACGGAGAGAGCATGTGGGGCGCTATTGCGAGCGCGGCATTCTCCAACCCGACTTCGGCTACGGGGGAGTGTGATTGGCTCACCTTGCATCGGCGAATGGGGCATGTGGCCCTGCCTATCTTGCAGCAGCTAATGAAGAATGAGATGGTTGCTGGCATACGTGTAAAGGGGGAGCCCGATGAGGTGCTTGGCTGCCCGACGTGCATTCAAGCCAAGTTCACCCGGTTTCCGTTCCCTAGTTCGGAGGCAACAGCAAAGGCACCGCTTGATGAGGTGGTGATGGACGTGGTGGGCCCCCTGAGGCTTGGAGCTGCTGGAGCTGAATATTTCCTCACCATTGTGGACGTCTACACCCGCATGACTTGGGTGTACGTGCTGGCCAAGAAGAGCGACGTGGCTGAAACGGTGAAGACCGATTGGTTGCCGATGGTGGAGCGGCAACAAGACCGGCTAGTCAAGTCCATCCGCACCGATCGAGGGGGAGAGTTCCTGAGCAAGGAGTTTGGGTTGTGGCTGAAGAAGAATGGCATAAGGCACTCCCTTACCATGCCATACTCCCCTGCAATGAACGGCATCGCCGAGCGAGCGAACCGCACAATCCTGGAGACGGCACGCGGGTTGCTCATTGAAGCCGGGCTACCCGATTATTTCTGGCCTGATGCGGTGCGGAGCGCGTGTGTGGCCAAGAACCGAGCCTTGACTCATGTGGGAGCAGATAAATGGGTGCCCTATGTGGTGTGGCTTGGAAGGAAGCCAAAGGTGGATATGCTTCGGGTGTTCGGGTGCATGTGCATGGCGCTCGTACCTAAGCATCTTCGGCACAACAAGCTTGGTGCCAAGGCGATATGGGCCGTGCACTTGGGCATGGCTCAAAACAGCAAGGGGTGGCTTCTTTGGGACCCATTAACCAAGAAGTTCATGGTGAGCAGGGACT